TTTCGAATTCCGGGGACTCGAGAAAACTCAGCTGTGAGTGCAATAGGATGAGTTTTTTCTTTTTTTTTCTGTTTATCTTGCTATAACAGAATAGTAAGTAAGGAGCTAGACTCATGAAAGACATAGGGCACAAAAAGTGGGAGTTAAGTGCCTCAGACCAAGTTTTAGATTTTTAAAACCCCCAGGTACCAGCCACCTAATCCTGTGTCTAGAGGTCTTTTTTCTGTGCAAGCCCAGAAATGCCTAGGTCTTGTCAATGCTGAGCAGCTAAGTGCCTATGCCCCAACTGGGCATTCTTCTTCCTGTCTGACCTGAAAGGTCTGATGTGGTAGGCATTTCTTAGAGCACACCCAATGATTCAAGCCATACACAAGACATATAGGGGTGGGGCAAAGAGAATATGGTGATGACTGGTCCTGCTTTATCCAGCGGCTGGTTCTTTAGCACACCTGTCTGGAATGTGGGAAAACCACATTCCCTCCTCTGCCTGGAGAGATCTGAAGCTGAAACTTCAGCTCACAGGTCAACGTTGTGAGCAACCGCAACAGAGTATTTTGAGACAGAGCTCTCTCAAGCTTTCCTGTTGCAGCTGGTCCATTTTTCATCCAATAACTATTTGTTGGACCAGATGTATATATTCATAGTCTAGTGGTTGGTGCACTCTCGGGGGAAAGGGAGATATCGGTTCCAGGCCTTTGTCCTCTGAATGTTTAACTATTTTAAATAATGTATTCATGGGGGCAGAGAATCGACTCAAGGGATTCTTATCTCTCTGGTGAGTATCCTAATGAGGCTACAGAGTCACTTTTATTTTCTTCAGGCAACTGACTTCCCTCACATTGGTATGTCTTCAACAGGAGAGACTAACAGAGCTCACTCCCAAAATACCCTGGTGGTTAGAGAATTCACTTGGCAGAAAACAATTCAAATCTGCTCAGGCAGCCTTGGTCTCCTACATGCCAGGTGGCTGCTTTCACCAGCAAGCTCTTGGGTAAGAAGGGTGGTGGTGGTATTTGTGTGTAGTGAAAATGTTATGTTGTGAGAAAAGTGCTTATGCCAATTCAGAGTTTTAGGGTTCAGAATGATGATGGACACCTGTCTGCAGCCCAAAGCAAGGTGCCTGTGTCCCAGAGAAGAGAGGGGGTAAAGATAAGCCACGTGCTCAGTGTTTTCTACTACCTTCAGTAGGTCCTGAAAGAACATATTGGCTTTTGTGGATCCCATTGTTCCAGTGTTTAACTCCTCCCCATCCTTTTTATTGGAAACTTAGGTGATTAATTTAAGGCTTGAATTCCTCTAGATAATAGGATGCCTAAAAAAAGTGTATCACAGTTCTGGCTGTTGGAGCACATAAGCTGTTCTGTAGATCTAGTCTTGTATTTTAACCAGCAGTCTTCTGTAGGGTAAGCATAACTATTGCATTAAACAGAAATAACTGTTTTTGATGTAATAGGTGAACCAGTGTCATCTCAATCAACCCAATTCTCCACTAAACCTAGAGCCAATCCATTTTATTGCTGTACTGGGAGGCCTGAAGTGGCTATTATTTCTTCTTTTTAGACGGTCTTAAGTATGAGTTAATCTATTTCAGTGACCTTATTGCTTCCATATATTTTATTATTCTTATAACAGCATGGTTAGCAGTTTACTGCTACACTAGGGGAGTAGATTGAGGGCTCAGTGAGCAACTGTTCACCAGGGCACCTGAGGGGAAAACTAGGAGTAATGGCCACAAACTCCTGGAAAACCAATTCAGGCTCAACATTAGGAAAAACTTCTTCACAGTCAGGGTGTCCAGACTGTGGAATAAGCTCCGCCCCTAGAGGTGGTGCAATCACCTATCTTGGAAATCTTCAAGAGGAGACTAGACAGTCACCTTGCTAGAGTCACCTGTCCCCCAGTTATGTTTCCTGCTTGGTGCAGGCGGCTGGACCTGATGATCTTCCAGGGTCCCTTCCGGCCTTACAATCTATCAATGTATTATTTAAAGTTAATGTTATCAGGCTAGGAAAGAATCTAGCTTTGTTTTACCCCAGTAAAGACACCAGTGGGTTACCTAAGCTAGTTACATAGATCTCTCAATTATAAAAGACATTAGACTAAGCAATGCTTCATTTGCTTTGAAGTAGCAGTCTATAAACAAATATATGTATACATGCACACAGTCTTCAGTAGCTTAACCAAGAGACCAGAGTCTTTAGACTATTACAAGTTATAAATGTCAGTTATAGATGTTAGTTATTCTGAATAATGAAAAAATGCTATATAGTTTAGAAAACCCACAGAAATATGTAATGGGTTTTGTGAGGGGGATCATCCTGTTAAACTCTGCTCCTCTTCTAAGTAGAGATAAAACGATGCCTTAATTTTTGCTTAATGTTTCTCTAAACAAAAAGTTAATGTACTCGCATGGAATGGTTAATAATAATTACATGGTAATGATTTGTAAAATTGCTTATGCTTCCTAAACAGTTATTTTAAAAGTTTCCAAAGTTAAATCAAAATCATATTTGGCACCAGAGAATAATCAGTTGGGATAATACATTAAAGGAAAATATCTCATCAGAGACGAGAAGTCTTTAAACAGACAGAAAAATTTAAATATGAAAAGTAATTTGAAATATAATCATACTAAGAGACTTTGGGGAAATCGGCATTTGAAGATATCTCTGTGTTTATGCACATTTTAATTTGATGCTTTCATCCATTTCATATGGATCACTGCAATATGTTGATTCAGTTTCTGTTTTTACTATGCTTCAAATATCAGATTGAATATCTATGAACTGTAGCATCTACTTTATCAAGATTCCGTCTTTTTTCTAAAGGAGAATTGACTTTCTCAGGGGTGGGGCTATTACCTGATAGACTTGAATGAGAAATGCTAACACAAGTTAAATTGTGTCTCTCTAATTCTCAGCATGATAACAAGGTGACTTCCTAAATAGGAAACTGGGGGATTATGCATTGCGAGTGCTGATTGGAAAAAGCAGCAAGTGAAACCAAATTACTTTATAGCCGTAAATAGAGATAATGAAGATCAGAAGATAGAAAACAAACAGACTAAATGCAGTAGCCTTATATTTCAAACTTAGGCCTCTAAAGCTGTATTTAGTTGGCTACAAGGCACTGAGCTCCCATTGACTCCATGTAATATATTACTTTTTAAAAAAGATTTTACTCAATGCAAAGTTTCACTAAGATGATAATTCTATATTTCATTCAATACTGCTTAAGTTGCAAAGGGCACTGGGCAGGTTAAGCCAATTAAAATTAGCATAAGGATATTGATCCAAGGGAGGCATGTGGATTTACACCAGATGAGTCTAGCTCATGGTCCCTTCTGAATCACATCTTGACTGCATGATATTTAGATGTAGACTTTTCATACATTCTTGGATTTTGTTAGAAGAATGTATATACTATAGAGGGTCCCATGAAAGGCTGACACACAAAGGGCCTCCAATAATGGATGTAAGGGCTAACAGAACAGCCAATGCAACAACTAACTTCCAGATGCTTGGCTCCCGGAGCAGAGCTTAAAATCCTCTGTTAGACACCCTAAGCTTACAGTACTGTAGACAGAGACAGTTAAGTGCCTCTAAGGGGCTGCTGACACACTGAACAAGAAAACAGTAAGAGATGCTAAGCACAGGAGTGTCTAAAAATCCTCTCTTATTCAGAGCTTAGGAATGGAGCCAGGGGTGTAGGAAGGCATCTCCATAAACTTGGATTCCCATGTCCCGAATCCTCTCCTCAGTATAGATGCTTACAACTCTTCCTTGAAAGAACTAAGCAGGACTTGCTGTTTTGGTAAAGCACAGCTGAAGGAGGAGAAGTTGGAGGAGGAAACAGTAAAGCCCATTACAATTGGTAATAAGACAGTTGCAAGTCAAATCAATGCTACATGACCTACTCTTGTCTACATCAATGGAATAGTTTATCTGTGGATGACAGACAGAAAAGAATCAATTCCCAGCACTTCTTTTCAAGTTCTGGTACCTGTGCAGGACTACCTATTGAGTCAGAGGTTTCAGTTTTACGTGGTCACTTTTCAGGAAGTTTGACATTAATGTTTAACCTTAAATTGGGTTTGTTGACCTTATTCAAGACTGGCCACAAATCTAAGGGCATGACAACATTTAACAAAGTGAGATGATATAGTAGAGGGGAAATGACAAAAAGGATACATTTGCAGCAATACTTGGCATGTAAGGATTTGAAGTGGTGATTTGGGGAACTCCTCAGGTACATTGCTGCTTACAAATGCAAGGGACTGGACTTGATAGGCCAGGAGGCCCCTACCAGATTTACATTCCTAACAAAATAACAGTTATTTCCTGTCTCCTTATGACCCTACGAACAATTTTCAATTAACCTGACTTTTCAAGGATTCTTCTAAAAGACTCTTTGTCCCAAGCTAGCATATATTTGACTTTAAAGATGCATGTTTCCTCCATAGTTTAGTTTAGATTGCATTAAATGATCTTAATGCACATAGTTTATTATTAATTTCTGCACAAATGTAACACAATTTCTAGATCATTTGTATTACCTCCAATTTCTATCCCATGTATATACACAAATCTCAGCATTATTGAGTGAAAAAGTGAAAAGATACTGAGTGAAATTCTGGTACCTATATTCATTCAGTAGATAAGATTATATGATTTTCAGAGTCTCTTCTGGCCTTAAAAATCTATGAACACATCAACACAAAGCAAAACATGAAAAGTCTATTGGGACATCTAAATGCCACCAGATATCATATGATACAATATTAATATATGTGTTCAAACAGTAAGAGTCACACTAGATCAGCTCATCAGCTGTAGTAAATAGATTGACTTTGGTTCGACAGAGGATCTGGCCCACTAGGTTTTACTGTCACTGTAACTAAAAAGATATCTGGAAAATGTAAAAGTTTCTCTATGTCAGCAGGTTATGTAGCCATCTCATCCCTCTGCCACATGAATAGAATTAAGTTATTAATACTGTACCTTCCGAAGAGGTTTGAGCTTGGTCTCCATTATAAAGTCATACTTGCAGAGTTCACAACAGCGTGTGTCTGAGCTCTTGATCCATTGGTGCAGACAGGCTTGATGAACAAAGCGTAGGGTTCCTGTGCAGCGACATGGTGTGATGAGGGGGCTTTCATCATCTCCCTCACAGTGACAGATCCTGACAGGAAGGACAGCAACACACAATGAGGGACTTTTCCAAGGAGAAAAATAAAGACATTGCTTTTTCATTCTCAACTTGACATGCATGAGAGCCAAAATCTGTGACCTTTAAGATTAGATCCCAAAAATATGTTCCTTGTTTCCTTTTGTCACGCAGGGCCAGAATAAAAAAGATATCAGACACCCAACCTCCCACTAATTTCAAAAGGAAGGGAAGAATCTGAATAGTTGTTGTTATATTTCAAATGTACTATGCAGTTTGGACACAAATTGACAGAAATACTACTTGTCCCCTCCCTTGTGTAGGACAAGTCTTTTAGTGTGCAAGTTCTGGCCACCCCC